ACACGCGCACACGCATACAAGCAAGGGCACGCACGGACTATGATCTGGTGTCGAAGAGAGAGCATTGAATCATCAGAATAGTAGGCTAGCAGGATAATATGCGCTGTATACGGCTGTATACGGTGTTGTCGGCGTCGCTTCAATGACCGCGCAACGAATAAAGCATGCATCTATTATAAAAAATACAGCTGGACATAATCATAGAAAATTGGGTTTTAGCTGACTCGTTCGCATAATGACGGCAATCGGCGAGGTGTTGAAAACTGACGTGGCGAACGCGCGACGGCATAATTTATGAAAATTTATTACGATCTCGCCCCTGAAAGGTACTTTTTTCTTTTTCCACTCTGCTTACTCTTCAGCATGACTCAGTTGTCACACGATAAAGAATGTCTCGAGTCCAATCTATTTTAATTTTCTTCGTTGATATTTATTTTACATATCTAATTTAATATTTATTTTTAAGTGCGCAAGTAGTTTCTCCTTCTCTCAAATCAACTACATAATCTTCATGTCATCATGCAAAGATTATTGCTATAATAATTCGGCTGTGTTTTTTTCTCATAAATTTTTCTCGATCTTAGTTTAAGCCATCGTAAAAGACATGGACAATGATGACAAATACTTGCACGCGTGAGATTCGATAAATATTATGATTATATCCGCACCTTAGAATATATAACAATGATTATTTATATGCAAAACGCATTGTTTTGGCTAACAGCAAGAAGCAATAACAAGTAAATCGCTCTTATTATCGATACAAAACGTTGTAAAATAATCGCTATAACTGATATTGCTTTGCGCAACGAGTTATCAATACACACTATTATCTATTAAAATGACGCATATCGATAAATATGAAAGTCTACTTGAATATTCACTTGCTCATTCATGTAGCCTCTCGTTATGCCTTCCCAAAAGGATGTTAATAGCAGTTTAGGTTTAAGTTTAGATTAATAACTAAACGACTGATAGCAGCCAAAATAAAAAAAATACGGCTATCGCTAATATAAATACTTTCCGAATATATAAAAAGTAAAGTATACATTTTATTTTTTATTGTTCGTCATTTTATTTAAGGAACTTTAGATATAACTTTTAGAGTATTTGTATTGGATCTAACTAACTGGTTTGATTTGTAAAATAGATAACATCTTTTTTTTACCTGTCACGACAAATATAAAAGAAAGGAAAAAAAATTGAAAAGGAAGAAAAGAAAATTGGAAAAGAGAAAAGAAAAAAATTGGTATCCAATTTAACTCATTAACATCCAAGCGGGTGTATTTTGAACATAATATTCAACGACTTTATTTGCAATGTTAAAAGTCTAAAAAAAATTGAAAAATATCATTTCTTACGTAAAATTTTACGCTCTTTCAGAATCCATCATCAGAATTTGTGTAAAATGAAGTTTAAAAAAGCTATGGCGGCTTTTAAGTCAAAAAATGCGAAAAAATCGAAAACAATTTTTTTACACATCGATATAGTATGAAACTCCAACTTTTTCCGCAACCATCAGTACACAAAATAGTTGTACTTTAAGGATATATTTTTTAAATTTGTCAAAATTGTCATTTCCATTTAAAAATGGCGGCAAAATCGCAAAAATTTACGAATTGTCATATTTGTTCTACAATTCGTAAATTTCGGATAAGTAACGGCTTATTATTACTAAAAATAATGAGATTGATATTCGCAATTGATTTTCAATCAAATATAATCAAATATAAATACAATTTTCAATATGGCGGATTCAATATGGCGGCCAAAAAAGTATGTAAATTGTCGATTTTTCTACATTTTTTCTAAATTCCTCTATGAATTCTTTCTCATAACCATTTTACGCACGAACTATTAATATAATATATTAGATATATATTAACTATTATTATGAATTAATTTATTGGTATATATCAATAGACATAAATTTGTAAAATTATAAGGCAGTAAACTGTGAGCGTTAAGCGAGTGTCCATTGCATATTTTGTATTACTTCTAAATATATTACTTTGATTACCCAACTGTGAGCACACTGAATCTCCGGAGCCCACAGTATCAATTTATGATTTCTATTCCAATACTTTTATAAGCTTGTCAACATTTTAGGAAAAACAAAGCTGAAATATTGATCGTCTGTTTTACAATCTTCAATTTCTTGAATTTCAATTAGTAAGTCAACTAAAATCATCCAGATTTGACAAAATAATGTTTTAAATCACTGAAAGATATAATTACAATAGAGATATTACTAGTCTTGCGAACAATTGATGATAAAAATGAGTGAGAATGATATATTGTAAATCGTATAAAAAATAATAAAAGTATCAAACATGATCAAAATATCATATTGGAGGGAAGTATTAAAAAGTTATGGAAGGATTAGCGACATTCGATAAAAATAAATTTTTTTTGATAATTCATATACTCCAATTAAGAACAAAGTAACAGTAAATCGGTTAACACAAACATCAATATAAAAATTCTTTATATTAAAATGATAAATTTATTTAGCCTATCAATTTTATCTATTTATCGATTCATAGCAATTTGTAGCTTCACCGTTCGTGTAATTTATTTACGTGTGGAGTTCATAATTCGTTAATCTAACCATGTGATTCGTAGATCGTTTAAGGAACAGCTAAAATTTGAATTGATTGTTACTTTCAAATGTTTTAGAGAAGAAACCTGGGCATATCATAAAAGAATTACTTATATTAGAAGAACTATATTAATAGAAGGAACAGTCTATATATACGATCATGCTGGTTTCATTTATCTCTATTGCAAAACTGAGTAAACAACATCACAAATATTTGTTTACTAAGCGATCCACGAATCACACGGTGTATAAAGTATTATTGCTAATTTATTTTTTCTTTAAATATATACAAGGTGTCCCATTTTAAAAAACACACCTTGATAATTCTTCAACGAACCATTTTCAGTAAAAATGTTTCAAACAAAAGTTGTATGATTTCAAGGGGGACATAAAACAACTATACTATTTTGTTTACAAATGGCACCATTTTTGAGATATTCACTAATCATTATTTTTCTTAAATGGAAACTCCAATTTTTTATTACATTGCCTTTTTCTACCAATTAATTTAAACAACTTCTGTCTGAAATATTTTTTTATTTGCCTAATATTTTTTGAGATATTTAAGGAAAACTTGATAACTTTTTCAATATTTAACTCACGATATCTCGCTAACTATTTGTCGGAAGAAAAAGTGATACTTTTTTCCTCTACTTGGTCTCAAGAATATATTGTTATAATAGCGCCCTGACTTTTGTTAACTTACTGACTTTTGAAAATTTCAAAATCATCAAATTAACAAAAGTCAGGGCGCTATTTTTGTTAATTTGATTTTGAAATTTCCAAAAGTTCCAAAAACGATAAGTTAACAAAAGTTAGGGCATTATTGTAACAATATATTCTTGAGTTTAAATAGAGTAAAAAGGTCTAATATTATATTTTCTTCTGACAATAGTTAGCAAGATCGTAAGTTAAATATTGAAAAAGTTACGAAGTTTTCCTTATATATCTGAAAAAATATTATGTAAATAAAAATATGTTTCAGACAAAAAGTATTCAAATTAATTGGTAGAAAAAGATGGTGTAATAAAAAATTGGGGTTTCCATTTAAGAAAAGTAATGATCAGTGAATATCTCGAAAATGGTGCCATCTGTAAACAAATTGATATAGTTGTTTTATGTCCCCTTTAAAACCATGCAACTTTTGTCTAAAATATTTTTCTGTATCTTCCATATTTTTCGAGATATTTACCTGGGAGATTTAAAATGGGATCATTTTATGCATGTCCTATTTAAAATAAATTGTTTTAATAAAAATTGAATTTAATTGTTTTATTTTTCAAAAATCCTTTTATTCTGGTACCTAGAAAAAAATAATTTTTATTTATTAAAATAATTATTCTTTTCCTCAGTAAGCGCACCACTTATTATACAAATTATATAAACAACCTTTTTTTATTAGGATTATCCTTAAGAATATGACTGGATGGATTTCAATGCATGAAAAAATTACGAATTTTGTCTGAAGTTAGAAAAATTCTATTCCTTTCTGTTTTGCTAAAAAAAAACTACAAATATTAAGATTTAAACAACGTTTACAATAGAAAGTAAAAATTTGATATAATGAAAAAAATTCTCCCCAATTCTTTTTAACTCTTGTATGGGGAAGAAAATTAATACTGTTAAAAAGTAACCTACGAATCACTGTATTGGTGGAAAATAGTGAATCATATAGAAGATTAATGATAACAATTTCATTACTTTCACTAATAACTGGACTAAATCACATAGTGTCCATCTGTAAACATTGAACGTATGATATATATTTTATCACGAGGTTAATTTGTGTAACGATTAGCAGATGTAATGAATATAATTAATGTGCAACGTGTATCATATATCATTGCTACTATATGTAACATTTCGACAAATTATGCATCGCATGCGAAGTCAATTAATTGTCGTGCCTTGTTGCACGCAATGTCGGTCTGCGACTAGAGAGCGACAGGTTCATTGGAAATAAACAAGGTACGACTTTCGGCGACTGTTGGATCGTTGCAACATTAGGACAGCAATCAACTTTTATGAAAATTTTTTCTGTCAGAGAAAAACATTCTGAAGTTTCTTAATTTGATCTGATTGAATAAGCATATAGCTTAGCTATATGCTTATTCAATCTGCTATATTTCCCACAAATTTTTACAATAAAAAATATCAACAAAGTCTTACATACATGTAAAAAATCACACGTGTATATCTGTTTTGTTAGAATATACACGTATCGAGCAAAACCTGACGATTTCTAATGAAATTTTATATAACTGGAGAACTATCTTGTCCGTCTTCTTAATTGCGGATAGACACAAAAAAACGTTTGAATATATGTAAATAAAATATATAAATATATAAATATATAAATATACAAATAATTTTTTTTTTCAAATTTTAATAAACTCACCTCGCGAATGGTTTTGGATCGATTTCATAATATTCTGTGATGGGTCCGGTTTTAATCAGCCTGGCAAGCTGCGCTTCCTGAACAAGTACCAAACCCTCTTTTACATGTTTTTCACTCCACTGTACTCGGCATCTTCCTCCGCATTTCTCCTCATTAACTATCCGATCGTTCATTCGCTTTGTCTTCTCATATTTGCTCAGAGACGTTTGCAGATTACGATGTTGCAGTCTGGGCGACGTTTTTTTAACAGATGACATCGTGGGTGCTTGGTGGCTGTACTGATAAATCATAATAAAACCCACGACCAATCCAGGACAGAAACACGATATATCAATGAAATCAATGTGAAATCAAGGATACACGGAGATTTCAACACTCGCCTCATCCAACGATTTTAAGGATTGCGCGATTCTCTCTCTCTCTCTCTTTCTCTTTCTCTCTCTCTCTCTCTCTCCCTCTCTCTCTCTGTTTCTCTTTTTCTTTCTCTTTCTCTCTTAAAAAAGCACTCCTTCCCCGTCGATCCACGAAACATTCGTCGATTTATCCAGTAGCGATTCACACACTATTCTCACCCGCGACTGAATATCAAACTCCTCGTCTCATGTATTCAATTCAGGCGTCACACATTCTTGCTCTTGTTCTCGATTTCACGCGCTGCACTCAACATGTTCGATCTCTTCTCAGTCACGCACTTGTAGCTCCGAACAGAAGCGCGCGATGTCATTCTATCTTGGGAGAAGGCGAATACAGTTTTTTCGCTGCGTAATCAGACAACTATCTTTGCATTTTGTGGCAAATATCTTTGTCTACTTTTATCATTTTCTCACGACAAAGAGAGAAGGAGAGAGAGGGAAGGAGGAGGGAGAGAGAAAAAGAGGGAGAGAAAGAGAAAGCGCAAGAAAAAAAAGAGGAAGAAGAGAAATCCCCTGTGGTTCACAGTCCAGCGTCAAATCTGTAACTGGCCGCCACACGTCAACCGCCGCGCTCCTCTCCGTTCGCTATCTTCTTTCTTCGCAGGAAAACACGCCGGATTCTCTGAGAGTCCAACATCGACCGATCCCGTTTCTCTGGATCCCCTCAATTCTCCTACATCCTCTTGTCGCGATTCTGCTCCTTCTCCTCCTCTTTTTCCTCCTCCTCCTCATCTTTCTCCTTCTCCTCTTCTTCATCCTCATTCTCATCCTCTCCCCTCTTATCCTTCTCCTCCTTCTCCTCTCCGCATCTTTTTCCTTTTCTTATTTCAAGGTCGAATTAAAATCGTCCTCCCAGTTTTCCGGTTCCGTAATTATAAGTGAACATGAAATATTTCAATGTAAATAACATAACGGAACTTATTGTCCGTTCTTGATAAAAAAGTGACCAACGATAGTAATGTTTTTATCGCAATTTATTCGATGCACATATGGATAGATTATTGTCGGGATTGTTGTTACTTGTGAAGTCTCAATATTATAATGTTATACACGAGAATAAAAGACGTCATTGGGCAAACACTGACACGAATCCTCACAGCCAAATCTCGTGAAATCAGCTGTCGCTCCGTAAGCGGTTTAGAATGAGAATCTATAGTCGAAGAAATGATTGATAGACTACTCATAAATATATATCAGTTAAATATCGTACACCTGGATAATATGACCCATTACCTCAATTCGTCTCCAAAATATTTTAATAACTCGCACTCATACATATAATATTTAAAAAATAGCCGTTGTTAATTATCCGTTAACATTTTTCCTCAACTAATCAACTTTAAATAACTAATCAACTTTAAATAACATAATGGTCAATATAGCTTGTTAAGCCAAATTTCAATTGAATCTAACATGCCAAAATTATATCTCAATTGTTCGAGGAAATTTCCGGAAGTCGCACAAAGAGCATCCTCGATAATATTACGATCAATGCCATATGGGAGTTACTTCAGTGAAGAACCTAGAAAGGAGAAGCGCCGCAACAGAAATTCCTCCTCTCCTCCTGACACTTCCTCCCCACTCTTTTGATTCCTCCATAGGGCACATGCATAATGTACTCACGCCTGGACATCTACGCTATGATCTCTGCGCGATTGGGTTCCACCTACGTTAGAAAATATTCTCCAGCATCACTATTACTACCACAAGCGGCACCATAAACGCAACTAAAAGTAGCAACGACTACAACGGCGAGATATTCGCTTTCAGTCTAAGAAGAGGAATGGGGGAAAACTAATTGGAAGAGCAAGCTTGGACCATGAGCGTGATTTTCTTTTTTTCTTCTTATGATGCTGTCGAGACCTACTCCGTTGAAAAATGTCATGGAGATCTTGTAAAATCATTAATTGATCTTGACGCATTGAGAAAAATAGAGAAAAATATAATTCCATCATTGAATTTATATTACTCAGAAAGAATACAGATCGCTTCTTTGAATTTTTTTGCTAACGAAGTTTATTCACTTATTTAAAAAAAAAATATCTATGTAACTGGATCAATCTTTAACTTTATTCGTTACAATAAAGAAATCTCGAAAGATTGATCGCATGATAATTAAAAATTATCGTATCGTCGCACATCAGGTTAACAGAGCGATTTCTCAAATGACTTAACAAAAATGTGTCTGTGTCGCGCAATATTTTCTGGCGGATTGTATTATCGAAATAAGCCACAATAATGCGTTTAATCCGCGATTAGATAAAAGATTAATTGTGAAAACAAAAGTCGAAAATATCGTTATCGATGCCATCACTAAGCGAAATTTTTTAATTTTTTATACGAAGCGATCCCATTAAAAATATCATTGCGGATGAAACAGTCTTGACGTTCTAAAGATAGAGGCCACTTGATTTTTCTCACTTGCCAAACATTTCTGCTCTTTATTCCGAGAAGTGAACGGACTTGTATAAAAGCGTTAATATGTTAATGAACGCGTACAAGGATTTTACCTTCATATTTTCCTCATTCAATTATAATACTTCTTGGAAGTGTATACCATAATTCTGTAGATTTGAATTCTGATGAAAGCTTACACGAAACAACAAATGTGAAATCTATAGATTTCGCTGGATTATTTTATAGTAGTTAGTATAAATTGCATGCTTAGAGTTTACTTTAATATCTCAAATAACACAAAATATATTAATGTTATTAATGTTTTGAATATTTATAGATATTTATGAGATATGTCTTTGAGGATAAAGCATTCGAATCGGATATCTTATGAATATATGAAATATTCTATGAATATATGATATTCCATGAACGTTTGAGATATACAGGGTGTACCAAAAATCTGGAAATTATTTCAGTCAAATATTTCATAAACTATGCATTTTAAAAAGAAATGTTTCAGACAAAAGTTATTTGGTTTGAGAGGGGACATAAGATGGTGTCATTGAATTAACCTTGAATGAACGTTCCAAGATTATATGGAGTTCAACTTTGTCTTTTTAAATAGAACTCCCTATTTTTCATTGCATATTCTTATAGATCATCTCGAGAGCTTTCCAAAACATTATAAATAAGTTATATTTTATTGAGTATTTTCCGAGTTATGGGGTTTGAAAGTTACAATACCACCGGCATTAGCCAAGGTGTACCGCGTGGAGGTTGCACGATCGGATTTATATCTCTTGCGTATGTGTGTGTATGTGTCACAGCAGAAATAAGGACCCCACAGTTCGTTACTCCCGTAGTATTTAATGACTCCAAACCCTCTCTGCTGTGTGTGTGCGTATGTGTGTACGTGCGTGTGTGTGTGTGTAGGGGTGTGTGGTTTAGTTGAGTAAGTGTTTAAATTGACCTCCGTCTGCTGCTTGACAATAGCCTAGCCATAAATAAAAATTATTTAAAACATTTCGTCTCATCTCTGCCGGGATAAGATCGACTTGGTGTATTATACGTCCCCTAAGATCCGCAAGGTTGGCAGATTTTGTTTCGTATACATTGTTTTTAAGATATTCCCAAAAAACGTAATCAGGAGAAAGATCTGCTGATCTAGCAGGCTACTCTATTTGACCACGTCTTCCTATTCATCGATTTGGAAAAGTATTATCCAAAAATTGTTGTACTGCTACTGCATAGTGTAGGCCTGCACCATCTTCTTGGAACCAAATATTTTCTATGTTCCCATCAAACATATTTTCAAGAGCGGGTATGACTTCATTTTGCAATAGCTCCTGATAGAGGAACCGCGTTCAAATTCCCATTAATGAAGAATGGTCCGACAATACCATGTTCGCGGAAACCCGCCCAAACGGTAAGTTTTTGGGGATACTGCGTGCGGATATTACACATCCAGTGAGGATTTTCATCACTCCAATATCACGGTAATTATGCCGATTTACGCTCCATTCAATTAAAAAGAAGCTTCGTCGGAAAAAATTATGTGATCCAAAAAGTTATTATTATCATCGTATCGACACATCATTTCGTCGCAGAATTCATTTCTTCGAACAAAATCATCTTCCGATAGCCCCTGAGTGATTTTAATGTTGAAAGGATGCCATTTCTCTTTCACTAAAATACGATGAATGGACATTGTACTAATCTCATGCGCTTGCCCTCAGGAAAAAAACCCTCAATTTTGGGTGTAAACACTGAAATTTGGGTGTTTACCATGAAAGTTGAGTGTTAACCGTCAACATTCGGTGTGAATTGAGTGTTGAGCATCAATGTTGAGTGTCGGTTGGGCGTGACCATCAATATTCGTTATTATCTTGGTGTAGACACTCAATATTGGGTGTAACCATCAATATTCGGTGTATTATTGGTGTAGACACTGAATATTGAGTGGTTAAGTATTGGGCATCAGTATTGGGTATTGGTTAAGTATAACCATTAATATTCAGTATTAGTTTGATGTAGATATTTAATAGTGTTTGTCGGTTAAAGCGTTAATGGTGCAATAGTGCGCGCATGCCAATGGTTAAGAAACCTAATAATAATGTACAATATACATTTTATATAATAAATAATACATTATTTATTGTACACTTTTTTAGTTTTACAATAAGTTTACATACTTACAAGAGAACATTATATCCAGTACATCGAGAATCGGAATATCAATTTTTTTGGTGATTCTAGAGGCCAAAAAATAGTGAAAGGTAATTAATTGGAGAAAATTAATTGAAATTAATGAGAACATTTGTATCTTTTGTTTTTGTGACATTTTCATATTTTGAATAAAATATAATGTTGAGTAATTAGTCTTTTATTCTTCATTTTCCAGAATATTTCAAGTTTGCAATGGACGACAATATACACAAATGAAAGTATGTTTTCGTGAAACCCTTGTTTCATTATATTCTCATTTAATAACTTATAAATGAGGTATTAATTGAATAACTAAATAGGCTAAATATACTTTCATTTGACTGTTACACATTCATTTCGATGGTATTCCATCAACTGGGTGTAATACTCGGATAAAGATATATACCGGGTGCTTCAGACCACTCGAGTTACCCGATTTTTTAACGCGACATTTTAGAGAAAAATATTTCAGACAAAAGTTGTAGGGCTTCAAAGGATCTATTTACTGACGTTATGAATTTGACCTTGGGATAACCTTGAAAAGTCCAGTCAAGATCAACATAAGAATCTTAAATGGATATCCCAATTTTTTATTACATTATCTTTTTCTAGCAATTAATTTGAACAACTTTTGTCTGAAAAATTTTTTTATTTACCTAATATTTTTTGAGATATTTAAGGAAAACTTGATAACTTTTTCAATATTTAACTCACGATATCTCGCTAACTATTCGTCGAAAGAAAAAATAGTATTAGACTTTTTTACTTTACTACTTATGTTGTTTTTTTATATTGAGTCATAATATAATTTTTATTCAAATAAATCATAATGAATGTAATGAAAAAATGTATATTTAGATATTTCTTTCTCTCTATTTTCTTAGAAGAAATTCCTATAAATTACTTATTTTTGCATTCTAGATTAGAACTTTCTCTCATCGAATGACTTATGATAACTCGTGTGATTTGGTAAAATTAAATTTTATTGTAATACAAAACAAGTGTTTTTTTATAGTTTGCATTGCATTATAATTACTATATAGTATACACAAATAATGATACATTTATCTGATCATTCCCACCGACTCTTTCGCACTCTCTTACGTTCACTCTTCTCTATCCCTACAGAATTACAGGTTTGGTTGTCTTGTGGTATGGATTTTGGTGGTGGGATAGTTGGCGGTGGAGGCATTATTACTGACGGCGGAGTAATTGTTTGTTCCCACGTGTGATCTGATGATGCTCGGAACTATAATAAATGATATATTTTATTTATAAATTTTATTCCATGATTATACTTTTCTACTCATTTATATATTTAATATTTTCAATATTTATTTTGTAATTATCTTACTTGAGAATTGTATTGACTTCGAAAAGCAGCTTTCATAGCAGAGAGTCTATCGCTACCTGGTCCATGCCTTTCTAGTTTCTTCACAACGTCGCTAATATCTTTAGATGTTTGAGACGATGATCCACTCTGAAATATATTGTTATGATTAATTTAATCGTTACGGATTTTTCGAAATAAACAATTATTTATCATATTTTTGTTAAATGCGATATATACCAAACCCGACGAATCAGGTCTGCCTCTAAAACCAAGTCCAGCACCACCAACATTTATACTTTTCCCTTTTCCCCCTTTAAATCTCGATTTCCTGAACCATGCACTTTGCATGGCCAAGTCCATTAAACTTTTTGGTACTTCTTGGTTTGCTCCTTCTAAATTTCTTACTAAATGTCCGGAGAACTCCTTATCCTTTTCCGTTACAAGGGTATATGCTGTACCCTTCTCACCTGCACGACCTGTTCTTCCTATTCTGTGCGTATGTGTATCGATATCTCGTGCTACATCATAATTGATGACAGTCTTAATATGTGGAATGTCCAAACCTCGTGCTGAAAAATCACACAATCACATGAGCTTTACATATACAATTTTAATATTAATATAAAGTCAATTTAAATACCAGCAACGTCAGTAGCAACTAAAGTACTGACATCCTTCTTCTTAAAAGCTGTAATCACTTTATTTCTTTCAATTTGATCCATATCACCATGTAGAAGTAATACATCAAATTCTTTTAGTTTCAAGTTGTTCGCAAGTTCTTCTGCATTCAGCTAATATAAAAGAAAAAAAAACATTAGATTACACATGCCTGTTATACTATAGTTATAAAAATGTTTAGTTTTTGCACCTTCTTGGTAACGAAAATTAAGAGACTGCCAGCACTTAAAAATTCAACCAAGTTCTGCAGCAACCAGTTCCATTTACCACCAGGATTGTGAAACATAATTACGTGTTGCGTCACGTCAGTATTAGCTTCACCAACGTCTCCTTGCACTATTCTAACAGGATCCATTAAAACATCCCTAGCTAACTTTTCAACCCTTTTTTTAAATGTCGCGCTAAATAATAACGTTTGTCTGTCGGGTCTCACATGATTGCATATAGATCGTACTTGCGGTTCTAAAAAAAAAAAAAAAAAAAGGAGAGAAAAAAATAAAGGTTAGACGTTATTGTATAATATCTAATCTAAATAAATACATTTGCTCACCAAATCCCATATCAAACATTCTGTCAGCTTCATCTAGAACCAAAAATGTAACTCTAATTAAATTTGTTGCTTTCATCTTAACTAAATCAATCATTCTACCAGGAGTAGCAACTACAATTTCTGCACCACTCTCTAATGCTTTGCTTTGCTCCCATTTGCTGCCACCTCCGTAACAACAACATACTTGAATATTATAAACCTTCCCAAATTTCTTTGCTTCTTGATAGATCTGTTAATAGTATTCATAGTAAATTCTACTTCACATTTTGTTGCATACTTTTGAAACAATATTATATAAGATACCTGTTGGGATAATTCTCTGGTTGGCGCCAGAATGAGACCAATAGGCCCATCACCAGCTTTCAATTCACGTTGATCCATGATATGCACTAACATTGGCCAAATAAATGCGGCTGTTTTACCACTACCTGTTTTTGCTATACCTATTATATCTCGTCCATTTAAAGCAGCCGGTACTGCTTGTGCTTGAATAGGCGTTGGTTGAGTAAACTCATTTTTACGAATAGCTTTCATTAGCGCATCGTCGAATCCGAAATGTCCAAAGCTAGTAACTGGATTTGGTGGTGATGGTCCAGATACTTTTATACCTAAAGTTTTTCTTAAATTGTCAACTTGCTGCTTGTTTAAATTTGCAATTTCTTCATGTACATTGTAAAAATTCTTCTCAAATGATTCATAATCTATTTTGCTATGACCAATTGGAGGTAATGGATCGATTTCCTTCTTCTTCAGTGGAGCAATAGGATTACCATCTTCGTCATAATCAATTTCTTGATCAGATTCTTCTTGTTGCAAACCAGCAGTTGGATTTTCTTCCATATATCTTAAAAGTGAAACAAAATAGGAATAATTATATTTTTTCATATCTTCGTACTGTAATTTTGATATGTAAATTATACTATCTTTTTCAGTACAACTATGTTATTCAATAAATTTATACCTATAATAACTTTCTTCATCATCTTCTCCATCAATATCTGCCCTAAATCCTTTAGATTTATCTTCTTTGCGATCAACATCACATTGAGCCAAAGAATTATTTCGTTTTACTTCAGCATCGATACCTGCCATAAAAGCATCTAAGGGATCCTCTTCACTGTCACTTTCACTTTTTGTTGCTGTTTTCTTCATCAAATCATATGTAGGAGAACCAGGTGCTGGTATATATTCTAATGAAGAAGTTGGAAGTTCATCGTCATCCTCAAAATATCTAATTTCAAATAATATAATATTGCATGAACATTTAATATTACAATTATTACTGATATTACATACAATGTTATATATACATATTTTTTCTGTATAAAGATTCATACTATATACATGCATATATGTGTGGACAAAAATATATATACATACATGTATAACTTTAAATAATTATATAGATATATTTAATTTCTCTCTCTCTTCCCCTTCAATATGGTTTATTTTCAAAATTATACTCACTCTTCTTCTGTTTTGCTACGTTTCTTAGGCATGCCCCAGGAAGCAGATAAAGCATTTTCCGTAATAGCAGACATTGTATGATAACCTTGTTTACTTAAAGCAGAATTTGGTGGTGGAGGAGGTATATTAGTACCACTTCTTTTTGTTCCAGCCATTTGAAAACCAGCAAAACCAAATCCTTTTGGCTTGTTACCACCACCTCTATGATAACTCATTGTCCTTATAAAAGTTAATACTAATTAAAACAAAATATTATGAATTATAATTGATATTTATAAATTATAAGATTTATACACACACACACACATATACACACACACACACACATACACATTTATAAATAATTTCTTATGTTTTAGGTTATACAAATAACAAATTGTTGTTGGGGATTTAAAAAATAATTTATCATAAATTCTCAATCCTTAAACCATTAAACATTAAATAAAAAACATAATTAAGACTACATTCCAATATTTACTGCTAATACTGACAATACATAGTACATATTATATGAATTGTAGATTTTTAGTACTGATAGAAAATATTAAATGAAGTCTAAGTAAATAGTTAATCTCTATTACATTATAAGATCCAATGAAATGATTAATATTTTTTTATAAAACAAGTAAACAGCACTTTGTTGAAAAATTTTATTTGAAATATTTCTAGTCCTATGCAATGATAACTCTAATAAAATTTTTTTAGAACCTATTTGGTCAGATATTTATTTAAAAGTCAAAAGGTTAAGATATTATTCTGTTGAATTTCAAAACATCACTGATATTATAATTTCATTAAACTTTTCTGTTCTATTGTTAAATTCAATAATTATTTGAATTAAGTATTTGAATCAAGCAATAATTTTACTTTACATACAATTCACGGATTTATTCACAATATAACAGACGTAATATCAAATGATAAAATCCCCCGTCACAATAAATGAGCTCTGTACTGAAAAGAAACCTCAAGTCTGTCCTTTATAGCTGAACTGTAGAGGCTCGTCTACAATGGCAGTAAGCAGTGTTAAGGCCATTACACAATGCCAGGTAATAGCAGTGAGATTGTAGCAGAGAGGAAGTTGAAAGCGGCCAACACGGCGTTTTCGGCGACACCGATTTTTCGCACTGGGAATGGGCGCTATCTGCATCCATTTTGAGAGCGGAACTACGATGCTACATCCACTTTTAGGTCTCGACGGTAAAACCTTCATCTGGTGGCTGTCCGTGCTACATACACTTTCAGGCGGTTTATGTCCGTGCTACAACCATAATAGCGTACTTGACAAGCACGGTCTCGCGCATTGTTATGCATTTGTAACAGGAATTAACATGTTAACATGCACAAAAAAAATAAGAATTGAGATTGCATATGATTAATATCATGAAGATTATATACGATTTATATCGATATATAAATATATGATAATAAGATAATATTTTGTGTGTACCCAAAATTATTTTTCCAAAATATTTCAGCGTTACGTTAGTATTTATTTATACTCCGGCAGGCGTTTTTTAGTGCAGTTGTATCCGTGTGCATGTGTTGCATTGAAAGTGAGCGTGACGTACGTGTGCATAAACGCACTCACACACACACACACACACACACACACACACACACACGTGTCATACGCAACAGATAGAATCTCAGGCTATATGTTTAAACATTTTCAATTGCCATACGTTTCTATGTAAGAATGTAGTCGGCACACACACACACAGAGAAACTGCTCCCGTCTATCCGTCTGAGGTCCCTCCCTACGATCGACTTGTTTTGACGAGCCAAGCGAAAGAGAGAAAGAGAAGGAATGTGTTCGCTCCATCTCGTTCTGATTCGCAACGTTGCCGAGATTGTGCTTCCCGACACACGGCCGAAACTGACATTTCACTCTCGGCGTGAATCCAACGAGATGATCAATAGCAATCGATTTCGACTAAACTCTTTATTTTGGACTTTATTTTGGTGCCAGAAACAGGCTTGTATCTCTAGCCGTTTAGGAGATATCGAAGGTTAAAGTTTTCCCACCTTTCTCCGTTGATATTTCCGCTTCTACTGGGAGTAGAGAGTCGTCATTTACGGGAAAATGTAGGGTCTTGAGAGGACTTTATTTTGGTGCTAGAATCAGGCCTGTATCTCTAGCCAATGAGGAGATATCAAAGAGGTTAAAGTTTTCCCACCTTTCTCCGTTGATACCACCGCTTCTACTGGGAGTAGAGAGTCGGCATTGTAGACGAAAATGTAGGGTTTTGAGAGGACTTTATTTTAGTACCAGAGCCAGGCCTGTATCTCTAACCGTTTAGGAGATATCGAAGATTAAAGTTTTCCAACATTTATCCGTTGATATCTCCGCTTCTAATTGGAGTAGAGAGTCGTCATTGTAGTCGAAAATGTAGAGTTTTGAGAGGACTTTATTTTGGTACCAGAGCCAGGCCTGTATTTCTAACCGTTTAGGAGACATCGAAGGTAAAAGTTTCCAGCCATTCTCCGTCGATATCTAGCCTTCCTCCGTCGATATCTCCGCTTCTACTGGGAGTACAGAGTCGTCCATGTAGTCGAAAATGTAGGGTTTTGAGAGGACTTTAATTTGGTACAAGAGCCAGGCCTGTATCTCTAACCGTTTAGGAGATATCGAAGATTAAATTTTTCGAACATTTCTCCGTTGATATCTCCGCTTCTACTGGGAGTAGAGAGTCGCCATTTACGGCAAAATGTAGGGTTTTGAGAGGACTTTAATTTGGTACCAGAGCCAGGCCTGTATCTCTAACCGTTTAGAAGATATCGAAGGCTAAAGTTTTCCAGCCTTTCTCCTTCGATATCCAGCCTTCCTCCGTCGATATCTCCGCTTCTACTGGGAGTAGAGAGTTTGCCATGTAGTCGAAAATGTAGGGTTTTGAAAGGACTTTAATTTGGTACCAGAGCCAGGCCTGTATCTCTAACCGTTTAGGAGATATCGAAGATTAAATTTTTCCAACATTTCTCCGTTGATATCTCCGTTTCTACTGGGAGTAGAGAGTCGACATTTACGGCAAAATGTAGGGTTTTGAGAGGACTTTAATTTGGTACCAGAGCCAGGCCTGTATCTCTAACCGTTTAGGAGATATCGAAGGTTAAAGTTTTCCAGCCTTTCTCCGTCGATATCCAGCCTTCCTCCGCCGATATCTCCGCTTCTACTGGGAGTAGAGAGTTTGTCATGTAGTCGAAAATGTAGGGTTTTGAAAGGACTTTAATTTGGTACCAGAGCCAGGCCTGTATCTCTAACCGTTTAGGAGATATCAGAAAGCTTAGAAAACTTTAACTTTCGATATCTCCTAAACGGTTAGAGATACAGGCCTGGTTCTGGCACCAAATTAAAGTCCTCTCAAAACCCTACATTTTGCCGTAAGTGACGACTCTCTACTCCCAGTAGAAGCGGAGATATCAACGGAGAAAGCTTGGAAAATTTTAACCTTCGATTTCTCCTAAACGGTTAGAGATACAGGCCTGGTTCTGGCACCAAATTAAAGTCCTCTCAAAACCCTACATTTTGCCGTAAGTGACGACTCTCTACTCCCAGTAGAAGCGGAGATATCAACGGAGAAAGCTTGGAAAACTTTAACCTTCGATATCTCCTAAACGGTTAGAGATACAGGCCTGGTTCTGGCACCAAAATAAAGTCCTCTCAAAACCCTACATTTTGCCGTAAGTGACGACTCTCTACTCCCAGTAGAAGAGGAGATATCAACGGAGAAAGCTTGGAAAACTTTAACCTTCGATATCTCCTAAACGGTTAGAGATACAGGCCTGGTTCTGGCACAAAATTAAAGTCCTCTCAAAACCCTACATTTTGCCGTAAGTGACGACTCTCTACTCCCAGTAGAAGCGGAGATATCAACGGAGAAAGCTTGGAAAACTTTAACCCTCGATATCTCCTAAACGGTTAGAGATACAGGCCTGGTTCTGACACCAAATTAAAGTCCTCTCAAAACCCTACATTTCGCCGTAAGTGACGACTCTCTACTCCCAGTAGAAGCGGAGATATCAACGGAGAAAGCTTGGAAAATTTTAACCTTCGATATATCCTAAACGGTTAGAGATACAGGCCTGGTTCTGGCACCAAATTAAAGTCCTCTCAAAACCCTACATTTTGCCGTAAGTGACGACTCTCTACTCCCAGTAAAAGCGGAGATATCAACGGAGAAAGCTTGGAAAACTTTAACCTTCGATATCTCCTAAACGGTTAGAGATACAGGCCTGGTTCTCGCACCAAATTAAAGTCCTCTCAAAACCCTACATTTTGCCGTAAGTGACGACTCTCTACTCCCAGTAGAAGCGGAGATATCAACGGAGAAAGCTTGGAAAATTTTAACCTTTGATATCTCCTAAATGGTTAGAGATACAGGCCTGGTTCTGGCACCAAATTAAAGTCCTCTCAAATCCCTACATTTTGCCGTAAGTGACGACTCTCTACTCCCAGTAGAAGCGGAGATATCAACGGAGAAAGCTTGGAAAATTTTAACCTTCGATATCTCCTAAACGGTTAGAGATACAGGCCTGGTTCTGGCACCAAATTAAAGTCCTCTCAAAACCCTACATTTTGCCGTAAGTGACGACTCTCTACTCCCAGTAGAAGCGGAGATATCAACGGAGAAAGCTTGGAAAACTTTAACCTTCGATATCTCCTAAACGGTTAGAGATACAGGCCTGGTTCTGGCACCAAATTAAAGTGCTCTCAAAACACTACATTTTGCCGTAAGTGGCGACTCTCTACTCCCAGTAAAAGCGGAGATATCAAAGGAGAAAGCTTGGAAAACTTTAACCTTCGATATCTCCTAAACGGTTAGAGATACAGGCCTGGTTCTGGCACCAAATTAAAGTCCTCTCAAAACCCTACATTTTGCCGTAAGTGGCGACTCTCTACTCCCAGTAGAAGCGGAGATATCAAAGGAGAAAGCTTGGAAAACTTTAACCTTCGATATCTCCTAAACGATTAGAGATACAGGCCTGGTTCTGGCACCAAATTTAAGTGCTCTCAAAACCCTACATTTTGCCGCAAGTGGCGACTCTCTACTCCCAGTAGAAGCGGAGATATCAAAGGAGAAAGCTTGGAAAATTTTAACCTTCGATATCTCCTAAACGGTTAGAGATACAGGCCTGGTTCTGGCACCAAATTAAAGTGCTCTCAAAACCCTACATTTTGCCGTAAGTGGCGACTCTCTACTCCCAGTAGAAGCGGAGATATCAAAGGAGAAAGCTTGGAAAACTTTAACCTTCGATATCTCCTAAGCGGTTAGAGATACAGGCCTGGTTCTGGCACCAAATTAAAGTACTCTCAAAACCCTACATTTTGCTGTAAGTGGCGACTCTCTACTCCCAGTAGAAGCGGAGATATCAAAGGAGAAAGCTTGGAAAACTTTAACCTTCGATATCTCCTAAACGGTTAGAGATACAGGCCTGGTTCTGGCACCAAATTAAAGTGCTCTCAAAACCCTACATTTTGCCGTAAGTGGCGACTCTCTACTCCCAGTAGAAGCGGAGATATCAAAGCAGAAAGCTTGGAAAACTTTAACCTTCGATATCTCCTAAACGGTTAGAGATACAGGCCTGGTTCTGGCACCAAATTAAAGTGCTCTCAAAACCCTACATTTTGCCGTAAGTGACGACTCTCTACTCCCAGTAGAAGCGGAGATATCAAGGAGAAAGCTTGGAAAACTTTAACCTTCGATATCTCCTAAACGGTTAGAGATACAGGCCTGGTTCTGGCACCAAATTAAAGTGCTCTCAAAACCCTACATTTTGCCGTAAGTGACGACTCTCTACTCCCAGTAGAAGCGGAGATATCAAAGGAGAAAGCTTGGAAAACTTTAACCTTCGATATCTCCTAAACGGTTAGAGATACAGGCCTGGTTCTGGCACCAAATTAAAGTCCTCTCAAAACCCTACATTTTGCCGTAAGTGACGACTCTCTACTCCCAGTAGAAGCGGAGATATCAACGGAGAAAGCTTGGAAAACTTTAACCTTCGATATCTCCTAAACGGTTAGAGATACAGGCCTGGTTCTGGCACCAAATTA